AGCCCTGAGTCGGACGTCGGCTTTGCCGAAGCCACTACGCTGGACCCTGCCGCTGCCCTCTCAATCGACTTCGACGCCCCTGAGGTGCCGGAAGAGCCTGAGGTGCCGGAGGAGACCGTCGATCCGTTCCGCACCAAAGCGGGAAAACCCATTATCAAGGACGGTATGGGGCCCCCGTTGGAGTCCTTCCGCCTGTCGCCACGCACCATACAGATGCTTAAGAAGAATGACATTACGCACACGACCGAGGTGCAGGCTGGCACATTTGATCTGCTTTTTGAGGGCAAGGATATTATTGCAAAGTCACGCACGGGGACAGGGAAGACGCTCGCTTTTGGGCTTCCGATCATGGAACGCCTGGCGATCATTCGGAAGGAGCGTGGCGGACCCAAGCCGAGAGGTGAAGGCCCGGGATGCATTGTACTCGCGCCGACGCGCGAGCTTGCGAAGCAAGTGTCCAGGGAGATGTCTCACTTGGGGCAAGGGCTTGGCTTGTCTGTCGAGTGCTTCTATGGCGGTGTTGGTTACGGGCCGCAGGAGAACGCATTAAGGAGGGGTGTGGATGTCGTCGTAGGAACACCGGGAAGGATCATGGACCACTTGAACAAGGGCAATTTAAGGCTCGATAATATCTCGTTTGCCGTTCTTGATGAAGCAGATGAGATGCTTAGTATGGGTTTTGCACAGGACGTCGAGACGATATTTGAGACGCTGCCGCCTGAGAATGAACGTCAGGTGATCTTGTTTTCAGCGACAGTGCCACGGTGGGTGAAGAACCTTGCCTCCCAGTTCCAGAAGAAGGACGTTGTGACGTTTGATGCTGTTACATCCGGCTCTATGGCGTCAACGACAGTGCGTCACTGCGCCGTGCGCGTGCCAGAGCGAGATGAGGCACGAGCGGGACTGCTGGCGGATGTGATTGCAGTGCATAGCCAGGGAAGGTGTGAGGACACAATCAAGCGTGGACCGAGTCGTGCGATCGTTTTCACGGAGACCAAACGTGAGGCGGACGAGCTCGCTACGTCTGGGTCACTGGATGGATGTGGAGCGGCAGTTTTACACGGAGATGTCTCACAAAAGCAGAGAGAAGTGACGCTGAGCCAGTTTAGGCAGGGACAGTTTCAGGTGCTGGTGGCGACAGACGTGGCGGCTCGTGGGCTGGATATCTCCGGTGTGGACGTTGTGATTCAGTATCGCGTCCCGAATGATGCGGAAAGCTACATTCATCGTGCGGGGCGTACCGGGCGTGCTGGGAAGTCTGGGACTGCTGTAGTGATGTACTCCGACCGTGAAAGTCGTAACCTTCGCAATCTCGAGCGCGAATGCAGGATCCGGTTTGACATGGAAGTGGCGCCAGCTCCGGAAACGGCATTGGAAGCGGCCGTGAACGTTGCGCTCGACAACATATCTGGAGTAGATGAGCGCGTGATCAAGCATCTACTGCCTCGAGCAGAAGAAATGCTTGCATCTGGCGCTGAGGATACGGCGGAGAAGCTGGCGGCGATTCTGGCGATTGCTGGGCGACGGACTCGACTCGAAGACCGAAGCATCCTAAGTGGGGAGAAGGGTATGCGGACTGTTGTGGTGTCTGGGGAACGGGAAATCTCGCCTGGGTTGGCGATGAGGTTCATCTCGGACCTAGCGCGAGCGGCGGAGACGGAGAGCCGTGTGGGCCTGATCCGGATGTGCAGGGATGGAAGCGCGGTGGTTGACGTAATTTCCGACGCGGCACTAGGGCTGGTGGGAGCGAGTGAGAAACTCGGGGAGGATGCGGAGATTAAGTTGCGTGTGGCGTCCGGGGTGCCGCAGTTGAAGGAGATTGAGAGAAGGGGCGGTGGAAGGTTTGACCGAAGGGGTGGCGGTGGCCGGTCCGGCGGAGGCGGCGGGCGGTATGATCGAAACGGCGGTGCTAGAAGAGGGTCTTACAGGAGTGACAGTCGTGACAGTCGTGGTGGTGGAGGTGGAGGTGGATATGGAAGGAGAGACGGCGGTGGAGGTGGATATCAGCGACGAGAGAGCGGGTATGGAAGAAGAGATGGCGGGTATAGTGGCGGCAGGAGGGATAGTGGAGGGTACGGGGGAGGGCAGGGAGGAGGAGGGTATAGTGGCGGTGGCGGCGGCGGTGGGTACCAGGGGCGGGGCAGAAATTCTGGGGGCGCGAGGAGAAGCGCCGACTTTTTGAGCGACGACTTCTAGAGGAATTAAGGAAAATGAGTTTTTGTTTGTTTTGTTAACGTTAAAAAGGAATGCTGTATCGGCGAATACTGTATCGAAATTGTGCACGTGTACAGGTGTTGACTGGAGGAGCGGGTAGAATTACAGCGGGGCAAAGGGCAAAGGGAGACTTACACGAGTGGCAAGGATGACGGGGAGTGGGAGGTGTGGCGGTGTGGCGGTGTGGCGGTGTTTCAGGGAGGGGAAAGTGCGGTGTATAAAACGAGGCGCGCCCATGCTTTCGCGGGGTGCCAGCCGCCCCCACCCGGCGAAGCGGGCAAGGCTCAAAAACTGGAAATTTTTGAATTCCCCGTTCGGCACTGTAAGCGATGGGCCGACGCAAGGGGACGTCCGCCTTTCCGGTGGCGCGCATCAAGAAGATGATGCAGTCGGACGAGGAAGTGGGCAAGATCGCCACCGTCACGCCGGTCCTGGTCGCCAAGGCCCTCGAGTGCATGATGGAGGACGTGCTCCGCGAAGCCGCAGACGTCGCCCGCGAGCGCCACACGCGCACCGTCACCCCGCTCCACCTCAAGACCTGCGTCGCGCGCAACGACGCCTTCGACTTCCTGCGCCCCATCGTCCGGCACGTCAGCGGCGACGAGGGTAAGCGCGCACGCTCGCCGGCCGACCGCCGCGCCGCCCGCGCGGAGGCCGGCAGCGCCGCCGCCGCCGAGCCGAAGAAGCGCCGCGTTGCCGCCGCAGACAAGCCGGACACCGACGACGTCGTCGCCCCGCCTGCGCCGCCCGCGCCGCCCGCACCCGACCAGCACCCGCAACACCACCCAGTCGACGATAACTATGATGAGGAGGACAACTATGACGAGGACGAGGACGACGACGCCGCCCAGCCACAGCCTCAGCCACCACAAAGTAAAGAGCGCGTGTCCGTGCACGCGCTCTTGTCTTAGCCCGAATTGTAAATGCACGGCCTTCCACTCTGTCAGCCGGGCAGGCTTACAGCCGCCCGCGATACCGCGCGTCTTTCTCTCCGTCCCGATCGCCATGCGCGATCTCCTTCGTAGTGGCCATCGCCACCGATTCGCCACACCTCCCACGCACCTCGCTCTCTTCCCCTACGCACGCACGCCTGCTTCCACTCGGCGCGGACGGCTCTCCCGCTTGCACTTGCGCGCGACATGGGCGGCGACGGACGCTTCCCGTACCCTAAGGAGGTGTGGTCGCCTTCCGGCGGGTGGTGGGCGTTTCCGCGCGCGTGGCGTGCCAATACCGCCGCCGCTTTCGTTCTCACCGCCGCCTTGTGCGTCCCCGTGTTTTACCTGTCGGAGAGCAAAATGGTACGTCCCCATCCCGCCCCACCACTTGCTGCCGCACTTGTAGCGGAAGCTAACGCTCCGCCTTGAGTCAACTCCCGCCTGTATCATGCGTCCACCGCGTCGCGAGTAGGTGCGCCACGGAAACCCCAAGGTCCGCATTCCCTGGCGCCCGGGGCTGAAGGTCGACGACGAATAGCCTTTGGCGCGGAATAAACGCCGACCGCAACGCTTGTGGTCAAAATCGTTTTAGTCTTTGCTACCTAGCCTACTTGGGGCCGATCATGTTTGCGGGCACCACCACCTCGTCAAATCTTTCCCCGGTCATCCCGTGCTCGATCGCCGAGGCGCGCAGCGTCATTCCCTTTTCGTGCGCATGCTTAGCGATCTTGGCCGCCTTGTCGTATCCGATCTCGCTGTTGAGCGCTGTCACCAGCATCAGGCTGCTGTTCAGCAGCTCGTTAACGCGCCCCTCGTCCACTTGCAACCCGGCCACGCAGTTTTTCCGGAAGGACTCTGCCGAGTCAGCGAGCAGCCGTACGCTGTGCAGCGCATTGTAGATCATCAGAGGTTTAAACACGTTGAGCTCAAAGTGCCCATTCATCCCTCCCACTGTCACAGCCACGTGATTTCCGACCACTTGCGCGCACGCCATTGTCACCGCCTCACACTGCGTCGGGTTCACTTTGCCCGGCATGATCGAACTCCCGGGTTCGTTGGGCGGTAGTTTCAGCTCGCCCAGCCCGCATCGCGGTCCGGATCCCAGCATCCGGATGTCATTCGCGATCTTCATCACCCCCGTCGCTGCCCCATTGAGTGCCCCGCTCGTCGCCACCACCGCGTCGTGCGACGCTAGCGCCTCGAACTTGTTCTGCGCCGACGTGAACGGCAGTCCTGTGAGCAGCGCCACCTTGTCCGCCACCTGTTCTGCAAACCCGACCGGCGCGTTGAGCCCCGTGCCGACTGCCGTCCCGCCGATGGCCAGCTCGTATACATCTGGCAACGTTGTTTCGATCCGCGTCACGGCCTGGCGTAGCTGACGCACGTAGCCCGAAAACTCCTGCCCGACTGTCAGGGGGGTGGCGTCCATGCAGTGCGTGCGCCCGATCTTGATGATGGTGTCAAACTCGCGCGCCTTGGCGTCAAACTCATTTGCAAGGGCAGTAAGGGATGGGATGAGATGAGAGGTGACCTCGCGGGCGAGCGCTATGTGCATGGCCGTGGGAAAGGTGTCGTTGGAGGACTGGCTTTTGTTGACGTGATCGTTCGGGTGGACGGGAGACTTGGAGCCCAATTCGCCGCCCAGCATTTCGATGGCACGGTTGGACACCACCTCGTTCACGTTCATGTTGGACTGGGTACCGGAGCCTGTCTGCCAAACGACGAGGGGGAAGTGATCGTCCAGCTTTCCGGATGAGACCTCACGGGCGGCAGCTTGAATGGCCTCTGCGAGCGAAGGGTCAAGGCCGAAGCTGCTGTTGACGAAGGCCGTGGCTTCCTTGAGGACGCCGAAGGCGTGGATGACGGGGGTGGGCATACGGTCAGTGGAGCGGCAAATGTCAAAGTTGGTGAGCGAGCGCTGTGTTTGGGCGCCCCAGTAGCGGGAGGTGGGCACGTCGACAGGGCCCATGGTGTCGGTTTCGGTGCGTGTAGAGGAGGTCATAGTGGTGCGGGTGGCGTGAAGGGCGCGCGTGGTGAGGGCAGAGAGGGGGGAAAGGGCGGTTAGAGGGCGGCGGAGTTGGTGCAGCGGGACGCTGTGGAGGAAGGCTAGGCCGCGGATCATGGCAAGCGAAGGACGTGGAGAAGGGCGAAGGTGAGGGCAGGGAGATGGCGGATGAAGTTTCAATGTCACGATGCTGCAGGAGCGGGGAGCAAAGAGACTGTGTTAACGGCGGTGCAATGCGGGAACGCGATTGGCTCGGATAGGTCTGTGGAACGTAGTGGGGGACCAAGCACAGTATTGTGCATCTCAATGCGATTTCGCGAAATCCACCATGTCGTGTGGTACTGTAGTGAACGGCATCCCTTTACGCGCCTCGAGGTGGCTTTAGCAGATAACGAAGACGCTCTTCGTTGTTGTTGTGCAGCCACGTGCTCAAAACGATACTTAAACTATGCTTGCACTGATTGGATTGATGTAGTGCTCCTTGCTCCTTGTTTGTTTTGGTAAGATTATGGTGGATTATTTCAACCTCTGTACAAGGTCTCATACAAATTGACTCTCCTTTCCGACTTTGGACGTCTATTTTGGACGTCTATCTCCTTCAACAGAGTTTCCTTTTGTTCAATCCCCAAACTAGATTGCGAAAGACTACATTCGAGGATAAGCCCAGCAGAATCCTTTTCCCATCAAGAGCTCTTGGACCTGCCATTCCAGAGAGTACACCTGCCTCGATGCGAAGATACCTGACCTATGGGATACTGGAAGAAGCACCAGATACCCACACTCGATCACTTCGAACAGTTCACATGTGCATTTAGTCACCGCTTTGCGCCATATCAAAACTATTGGCGAACCTACTGCCCTGTGCAACCCTGTTCCACGTCATCACAGAGGCTAATGAGAACCTCCCTCACAGAAGCCCTGAAGCCTCTCTATATATCCCATGCCCTACAGCATGAATCTTCGACTTTATTTTCAGATATGAGACGGGGACCAGGCACATGTTCGAAGGGTAGTACACCATGGGCCGACTCCTCCCCGATTAAACAAGCACCAGCACCACTCCACCCAGATATGAACACCCTGCCTGCAACATGCCGCCTTCATGCTATCGAAATAGTCAGTTAACCTGCACCTGCATCAACAGAGCTCTAATCACAGAGCCCCCAGACGAACAACCAGCTCATTCATCCATAACTCACCCTCACCGTTCGCGGCAAGACTTCCTTCCTGTGCATCCGGAGAGAGCCTGTACGTCCACGTCCAGCGGCTTTCGCACCCCGCTCGCCTCTCAATGCAGACCCATCAAGCCATGCCACAACCTTCGTATAACCGAGCAACCGTCTATATGACAGAAATCGAGATGCGTTTACGCTTCGAACGAAGAGATGCGCAGTGATTCACTCGCTGCTGTCCTAGATTCAATGCCCTGTCACCACGGTACCGTGAGGATCCGTGCTCCGTGCGTTTGGACAGCTCACAGAGAACAACAATGCCGGAATCGACGCAAGGGCAACTCGGCCTATGTTTGCGATGTCGCTCGCTCTACTAGCGCTATCTTTCGCGCTCACATCGGCTCTGCGCATTCTTTTCGGAGAAGATCAGGAGCTTCCGTAGGACTCTGTATCGGACTGCCGAGTCGCTACTAGAGTGGTTCGCCGGATGGATATGGTCATGTTTTTACATGGGTTGTTCAGTTGAAGGTTGGTCAGCATCGATGCATCACAGGGGTGTCGTGGGTAGGTGCCCATGGCATGCATTCCAGCTCATTAAGTTATTGTGTGGCATCCTACGTGATGACTGACATAGTTGCTATCTATTCCCCAGATGGAGGACCATATCACAATGACATTATGCCCAAAAGAGGAGGGAGAGCTCGCTAGCTTGTAAGGTATGATGGCTTTCCGGTCCGCTTGATAGTATACACGAGTTGAAAACGTATGCCGGGGTCGATGAGATGAGGGTAGATCCTTTGACTCAGTATCGAGATGCAGAAAGGGGTTGGTGCGGTGGCCATTAAGCTACGTACTGGTACGCAGCGCCTTGATGGGGCGTTGAGCCGATGGTGTCAACTGGTCTATCTGGAAACTTTGGTTGCCTGTGTAGATGCAGCAAGGCGAAGAGGCGAAACTGTGAGAAGTTGTTCAAAACGACGTTTGGGTACCTACCATTTAGCTACAATGAGGCGCGACGACACAAGGTGCATCTTAATGCAAGCCATTAGTCAACTTACATATCCAAAGCAATGGGCCTTAAGTCCTGCGATTCCTCAGACAAGGTTGTCGAGCTGGGAAGTGAGGGGAGGAACCGGGCCTTGTGAATGCGCATATTGATTTCCAGTTTGGTTATGAAGTTGGCGGAGCAATCGCGACTTTTCTGAAGCATGCGGCAGAAGGCGCCCATGTTGCGTGCAGAAGGCTGTGTGTTAAGGGGAAAAGGGTTGAGGAGGCGAGAGGAAGAAGAAGAAGGCGAGTTGTGAAAGTAGCAAGTACTTCTGGAGGAGGACTAGCCCCTTGCCTGCCGAACGCGGGGCTTGATGTCTTTATAGCGTTTGGCATATGAGATGGCTCAGTGAGAGACGCGGTCTTAAGGTCTGGGTGGCAGCCGTAGTTGCTCATGAAGATGCGACATGTCGCAGCGTGTCCTTCCGGTGAATGGCTGGAAAAGAGGACGGTGAGCATCGGTCATAAAAAATGCATAGGCACAAGATGCAGCCGCGGAGAGAGGATGGACCTCGTGAGAGCAAGGCTGTGGCAACGGAGGGATGCTCTTCGCAACCTATTTTCTCTTTGAGTGTACACATGATCATGGCCTCTTAAAAGTGCAAGAAGATATTGGGCAGAGGCCGGTGGCACGAAAGAGCCAGCAAATAGATATTTTTAGGGTTATTTCAGAGCCGCCTTCTCTTTTGGTTTAGTGGAGGTCATGTTTAATGCACATTCCGGAACTGTCTTGGGCGTGCGCTGTACACAGCCGTGCGCTGTTGACACTGACTGTACTTGTGGAAGAAGACTGTCGCCACTGGCCCAAGAATATATGAGTGCACCATGTACAGTGCAGTGCGGGCAACAATACACCTCTTTCTTTTCAAAAAAGCTCATCAGAGCACCCCTTGCATCGTCCTCCATATTTCTATGACGTGGGAAAACCTTTTTTACCGCCTCATCTTCTCTCGCTTTTTCCATACAGGCCGCACCAAACATGCCATGGCAACGTGGTGCCCCCTCCCATTGCCTTTCCCTCAGTGGATCACAGTAAACCATCGTTCACAACGACCCCCATGGAGCAGTGCCTTTCCCAACCGCAGTTGCCACTGTGCCGATGGCGCAGTAGGGGAGGGAGGCCGATTTTTCACAGGGAGTCAGTAACATGGGCGCATGCAGCATTTTCCACATACTTCGCTTTCGGGGGGGGGGGGGGGGGGGGGGGGTTGAGGCGGTTTGGTTTGAGATAGCTGCGTGTCTAACATGCTGTTGTCGGCAATCATGAAACAAGCGCGTGTTTCGTAAGTAGGCCGCCAGCGATGACAGCCGTCTGGATCCGCCTACGGCGACTATATGCACCTGCAGAGCTCTATGAACCTACATCTGAAAGTTTAATTCATATCTTCGTGAGAACTTGTCCTGTTGTACTACGCACAAACAGTAGTCAGACGAGCATCTCCTGTCAATACAACTGCACGTTTTTATGTTTTTGTGAAATAGCTATTTGCAGAGGACGGAGTCTCGTGCAACACCGCATTCTACCCCCCTCATCGGCACGCCAATTAAAACACTTGACGGGATGGATACCATACAATAGTTCATCTCTAAACTCCAAAGCTGTGGGGCAAAACAACAGTATAAGCCATTCTTGGCTTTGCATGAGCGGCAAGATCCGAGAATTCATTTTTCAACTTTCCTAATAGCAGATACCCTGAAACTTTCAAACAACTACATATCGACTCTCAGGAAACTAAAACTTTGCACTGGCCCAAGAGCAGGTGCTGAGGCAACGATGTTGACCGAAACGTGGAGATGAGCAGGGCAGCACCACATCAGAGAAAATATCTTACAACTCGAGGAATTCTAAGCCTGTCTCTGCGCAGAAGCGCAGCGCCTTTTTGCTTCCTTTGAAAACCGATTTCAAACCTTGGCCTCCAACTTTCCCGGCGACCGACGCTGGAGGCATGCCGTACATGGGTGGCCGCGAAGACCCTGCAGATGGAAAGTGGGGAGGCGGTATGTAGTCTCGCTGACGATGCTTTTGGCGATGGCGAGAAGGACTGTCGTCGTCAAAATACGTTCCCGGCGGATAGTCCCCGTCTGATAAGGCCTTGGTAGTCTTCTTTCGCGATGAACTCTCAGTCTTTCTAGACTTTGATTGAGAAGCACTGCCTTGCTTTGCTTTCTCTCGTGAAGAAGAATTCGAGGAATGTGGCTTTGAGGTCTTTGTTGAAGAAGACGACTTCGACGTGTTCTTTGACGGCGGCTTTGACTTAGAGCTTTTCGAACGCGAGGACGCGCTGCTACTTTTCCTGGGCGACGAAGACTTACTCTTTGAGCGAGAGGAGGTGGGGGCCATGGCAAGTATGACGCAAACGTGGTGTGACCTGCTAATCAGACTCTTGACTGTCCAGGCGTTACTTTTCTCTAGCCTTAGGCAGTGCCCAGTCTTGGCCTTGTGTTGGTTCAGAAGGATATGGGTCAAGGTTTGTGGCAAACACGTCGTCCTCTTCTCCTTTCAGGATGTGAACGCAATACGAACCGCAATACGAACTGGTGGAGGGCTGGCCCAAAAAATGAATGGAAGGATTTTGGGAGATAAGTTACCACAACAACCAGTAATTTCTCTACGATGCACAGAAGCAAATATGCAGTACAAGAATATTTCGCTTGCAAGCTTTTTGATCCATTCGCTGTGTCTACTGTGCCATTGGCTAAGGGTACCGTTACTTCATGCATGCATAATCTTCTTACCAAACGCCACCCTTGATCATAGGGTGTACAGCTCAGCACAGGGCTCGTTGCTTCATGGAATTCCTTTAAAGAGAAAATGGAAAAGTTCAGGGCGCCACATGGGCTACTTTAATTGAAAGTCTTTCATACAGAGACCTCCGCTACAAAATTTGGGTACAGTATCGCAGACAAGTCCAGCAGACATCACGGATCACGTAGAATAGTGTTTTACAGACGTCCCAGACACAGTACAACACCATGTATCTCGTTTGGTCTTCCAGGTGATTTTTCGTCTGCATCATCAAAGGGTATGGGACGTCAAGCTTGTAGAAATCGGGTGCTATGCCCACGTAAGAACAGACAAGCAGAACCGGTGACGGCAAAAGAAAACTTCCAACTCGACAAAGTGGCTTAATAGAAATAGTTGGAAAGCACACAATACCATCATGATTGCAGTCATATGGACTCTCACACCCCTCTGACAAATGCGATACATCTGTAACCGCAATCACAACCAATCAACTACAAAGTTGTTTTGGAAGTTGAACATATGCAGCATCGTGAGGCGTTTGTTCATAGCGTGGGACTTTGACCAAATCCTGCACACCAACTTGAGTAGTTGAACATTCTCGCCACGGCTTACGGCGAAAGTCCGGCACGCTCTCAAGTCGCATGCCGCAAAACACATTTCCTCTTTTTGTTCCTCCTGGAAGAAAGAACTCAAAAGTCTTCCGTCCAGCTTCGCGACCCGTTCTGATCGACAGGTGTCGTCCTGGTATGTTTCTCATAATTGTTGGAGGGATTTCTTAGGTGTTTTTCTACTATCGCATCCTCGTTTGATGGTCAATACACACCATCGCGAGTTTCATCAATCGCTCAATTACCATCCTGTAAGTGCTTCCGCAATTCTTGTCTCTGATCAAAGTCTATTGCCTCTGCAGACAGCAATGTCTGATCACTTTAGTTGCCCGCCCATGTTGCCAGTGCAACAATCCGACTTTGCTTCTTTTTTTTTTCATGCCAGAGAGGATTGCTGCATGCCGCTACAGTATTCGCTTTGAACTGTTTGGCTGTCACGTACCGTCTCTACAAGGGATACCACTGGATCCCTTCACACATATTCGTGCTTGTCGAAAGTATCATTAAGTTGGGCATGTCCCGATTCATTTGTTGTCGTAGCGGGGGTTTGCGGTCGTTGCGAGAAAGTCTTTCGGTCATTCGCAAGATTCTTGCAGAAGACAAGGATAAACTCTGCAACCAAAGAAGCGGGAAAAAATGGCTCGTCGATTCAGATATTCTCTCACACTCAACACAGGGAGCCATTTTGCAGACGAAGAAAAGGAGCAGCCGCAGAATTGTTATCGACAGCCGTTGCAGGTTGTTGCAGGTTGTCACAAGGGATTTTTTGTCCGTAAATCAATCTTGACAAGCTAGCTTCGGCTCTGCTGTTCTAAGCGGCTTCACAAACTACGCTCGGGCGAAACAATCCGAAATTTACTACGGAGCGAGTGGCCGTTTTCTTGGCATGGGTCCAGACAACGTATGGCAACTTTATTAGATAAGCGAAAGAAAGATGGGACTGTTCAATGGTCTAGCTGCATGTTGGAACTTGTGCAAGGATGCTAGTACGACTGACATTCTTCTTGGTGGTACTACACTAAAACTTCGGACACGAACGAATCCGTCCGTCTTTTGAACTCGATCAAACTCGAGTAGGTCCGATCACTAACGGCAATATACAAACCTTCTGCACTCGGAGTTAACGCGATTCCAGCGATTTCTCCGAAAAGGTCAATTTCCTGGCACGTATCAAACTCTCCGCGATTGACGTCAAATATGTGTACAAAGTCACGCGGCTCGGCCATCATGAGGTGGGTTCCACAGGACGAAAAGCGGAGAGAGCGTACGGCCCCACCCACAGCATCAAGAACGCAAAACGACTGAGACATGTTTCGGACATCCCAGATGCGACAAGTCTTGTCCTGGGATCCAGTGGCAAACATGCGTCCATTCGGATGCCAGCTGGTTGCAAATGAAAAGTCCTCGTGCCCACGCAAGAGAGCTATTCTGTCACCTTTGTCGCCGTCAATCACCTGAATCGAGTGATGATCGCCAGCAACAGCGACCATTTTGCCATTCGGTTGTCTAGTGGCATGGTTAACCGCTTTGGCAAACTCGAAGGACGACTTTTTCTGAAACGTACTCATATCAAAGCATCGAACGCAGCAATCGTTGTTGCTCGTCATAATAGTGCTTCCGAAGATATCGATTGCATTGGTGATGGCGTTTTCGTCATAAGTGATGCGCTTATTGTGAATGATGGTGCCGTTCTTCAGGTTTTTCGCAATCATCTCACCATAGAAGCCACCCGCAATGACCAGGTCTTCCTTCGCAATCATGGTAGAAATCTGAACCATTCCCAGGCCGTTAGCTACGGCATTTCCAGAACCACTCAGGTCGAGCACCTGGCGTTTTCTCCTCGATGCTGCGTCCCAGTGCACAACAGCAGCATCGTGCATAACAAACACATCATGCTCACTAGTGGCCCAAGCGAGATTCCTCAGCTGAAAGTGCACAATGGAGCACTTGACCTGCCTAGTATTCCGAAAGAACTCATAGAACGTGGCGCCCTTCGTGGGCTTTGTCTTGAGCTCATCGCGCAACGATTCGTTCATGTCCGTGGAATCCCTCCTCAGGTTAGGCGACGTATTGTCCCTGAGTCTAGTCGCGCGATAGTCCTCTCTGGAAAACGGAAGGTTCTCCCATGGAATACCCTGCATATCAATGCCATTTGCGGCCTGTTCTGCGGTTATTTCACCATCCCTATCCGGTCTTCTAGCTGGCTTGCCCCAAATGCCGCCATTTGGACCATTGGTCCGCCCCCTGCACGGCTGGCCGCTTCTTCCCGTACCTGGAATTGACCACGGGCGGGTGGCATAATAGCTTTCCTCAACTTGCCTCTGGGCCTCGTGCCAAACCTCGTAATCCTCCCCCTCCCCCTCCGCCAGTTCTACCTCCAGGTCGCCCATGACATCCACAAAAGCTACCTCCTCGGGGTATGGGCGGGAAGCTTGGTCGCACGTCTCCGGCGGGGAATTCTGTCTGCCCTCCACGACGTTGGCGTCAACCCATGCCTGCCTCCTCGCGCGGGCGGAAATGCTTGCCTGGTCCCTGAAAACAGTCAAACCGGTGTGGCTGTGGAGCCCGTGCGCAAAGGGATACCAGGCGCCCAGCGCGGCATCATGGCGCGGTTCAAAGTCATCGCGCAAAGCGGCCACGGGGTGGGGGCCCGACACATCGGCGGTCCTGGGTTGCATCTGCCAGCGAAAATAGTCATGTCTGGCGGCGGCCGGAGGCGAGACTGTCCGCGGCCTGTGCGTGGGTTGGTAGAGCAACTGGGGCACAGGCGGGGGAGTGGCGGTTTCCGGAAAGACTGTGCAGGAGGGAGAGAGGCCCTGCGCGAGGGGATGCGAAGGCGTTGTGGGAGAGGCGTGCGGAAGGGGGCGTGGCTTGGGATGGCGGAAGGGAGTGTAATGGAAGGACGGGTAGGAAGCGTCCATGGGGATCGTGGCGAGGTTGCAGAGGCGGGGTTGGGGTTTGGGTTTGAGGGTGGCGAGGAGAGGGGTGCAGGGGGGGAGCGTGGTGGGACGGGATGGAAGGAGGTGGGTGTTTGAGGGCTTGAAGAATTCGGAAGGGAAATAATTGTTGGGGAGACGAGGTTTGGCAGTTTTTTTTAATATGCGAAATACTGTATCAAGGGTGGCCCGGGCGGCCCTCCAACAAATCGTGCGTGTTTCAATGATGGGGCGGCTGTTGCATTTTAGGTCCGTGGGGAGGGGAGGGGGGGGGGGAATGCACGCCATGTGCTGTGTGCTACACCGTCTTCGCCCGTCGCCAATGTGTGCCGCGTTTGTTTAGCAATGTGTGCGTGCAGCGCTCCTGAGCAGGAGAGCGGAAGCTCGCAGCGCTATAGAGATGCAGAAGGGTCTAGCGGCCGACAGCATCTCCGGCTCTCAAAAACGGTGTCCGGACCGAAGCCCGACTTGATTGGAACAGCCTCAGCGGTCGCCCACGAGCTCAGAGACAGCTAGAGACAGCTGCAACGAGGCGTACGTACGGGTTTGTGCCGGGTCTATTGTGGGCATATACCCTGTTAAAATGCAAAGACAGCAAGGCACGGATGGTAGAATCTGGCCAGCATTTGTCTCGGCATGTTCGCGTGTACCTCTCTTCTCTCTTTGGCGACGCAGCCGCTTTCGGTCTAGGTTTGCGTCTAGGTTTTATGGGCGAGTCGCCCGAAGTACGCGTGCTTTCTAAACGGTTTGCTATGTACGGAGGCCTCTGGGGCTAGAGCGTTTGGGCACGGAGAGAAGCGGAACGAGTCTCTACGTGTGGTGGCGTTATCGGCCTGCCCAAGCACTTGTGCATACCTGCCGTTTGCGCCCAAGTGTCCCAATGGGAATACTGCATGCAAAGTAATGCATTCGCTTACAGCGCGCCAGTCCGGTGTTCCTGCCCGGTTGCCAGTCAGTTGTGCAGTTGCATATCTTCATTCCTTACCTTGACCTGGCGGACGAGCTCGTCATGCAGTCTCCCGCAAATCTACACGCAATGCATGTTACATTCTAGTGCCACTGCAAGTTTGCTCTGCCACCTTCCGAACCTTTTAAAACAACTCCATGTGCATACACAGTAGTCAGCAACCTCACACTATGACTCCAACACGGACGACTTCCTCCACGTTGATCCACACGAATTCAACAGCTGCACCGAAGCCGACAGAGGCAGAGGCACCAGACGATTATTTGTATAATCAGCACCACTACAACTGATCTATACATTTGCTACACATTCCCACATCCCCTCTGTACAAATAACAGCAACACTGAACAAAACACAAGTATAGTCAAACGGGACCGCCACCTCCATCACCTCCACCCGATATCCTAATACAGTATATACATACGCAACATCCACTTAATCCCCCGGGCCCGCCGCCTTAACACCTTCCCCTCCCCCGCGTTCAAATTCTTTCATCCTCTCTCTCATCCTGACACTTGCGGCGGAGAGCAAAGCGTTCCTCTTGACCAGCGTCTTGACATGCTCCTTCAGCTCATCGATCTGCATCAAGCGAAACTCCCACGTAACCTTTGCCTCCCTTCTGCTCACCAGCTTTGCCCTAGACACACCCTCAGGGGGGTTATGCAGAGCCTCGTCCTTCAAGTGTTGTCGCAGCACGAGCTTACGCTCAGTGGCGCGCTGCATGGCGGCGTCGACCTCGCGCTTCCAGAGCCTTTCGACGACCGCGTCCGGTGGATGCAGCAGCGCCACGTTGGCCAGCGTCTGCTCCAGCTGCGCAGACGTCAGCTCCCACGGGCAGTCGGATGCTTCCGCCAAGGGCGCGGCATGCACGCTATCCGACGACGTGGCTGGGTGCGACACCGGCGGAGAGTCGGGCATGTCTGGCAGCGAGGGTGACGTGCGTATTTCCTGGGAGGGAAGCGTCGTATCTGAGAGACCGTTGGTCGAGCGCGGTGGCGGGACGGCGGGACTGGACGGTGGCAGGACGGCCGGGCTAGACGGCGGCGGAGACGGAACGGATACGTCTGTGATAGTGGATTGCGGTGGGGCGGGGAGGGGCTTGTCGGGGAGTAGCGCTTTGCCACGATGTGGGACGTGTGAAAGCAAGGGCTCGTTCTTGACGTCGATGTCGAGGGCAGCGGCGGCGGGAGTCTTGGTGGTGACATGGCGGAGATATTGCTTGAGGTAGGTAGCGGTGGGCGAGACTGAAGCGGGCGGGAAGCGGGGGGTGGGAATGAGGCAGGGGTGAGGGGTAAGGTGAAGGACGGGGGGGCGGACGCGCTTGAAGCGGACCCGTGGTGGGGCGGTGGGGAAGGAGGAGTTGGTCATGGCGAGAGCGGGTAGGGAGGGGACGCGGAGTTACGGGGGTGACATTGAGATGGGGGAGGGGATGGGGATGGGGAGGGGCGGGAGGGTGGTGGGAAAGTATTTTTGGAGGGTGCAGGTGTGTCGGGGGTTTCAGGGTGGAATTGGAGGTAATACGGTGCAGGTGGGACGGGTCGAGGTGTTCGATGGCGGACGAGGCTGTGGTGGATGTACTCAGGGGGGTTGGTGGATGTACCACTGTACATCAGTGTGGTAGTTCCAACTGGCCCGAGATAGTGGAACCCGGGATGGAAGCTTAAAGTGGAAGGCTCAAGACTCGTGATCTGCCAACTGTTCTGGGGAGGGAGCGACCTGAGGTCTTCTGTATCGTACATCTATTGTATGGACATACGGCAGACCTCAATCGCTCGGTATGGACTCTTGTTCTCTATGCCGTCAATCCCCGATACAAGCATGCATGCTATTCGCATAACCTCAACAGGTCCATCCATTTCCCTGTCCACGATCACCGCATGCACGCTTCTTAGGCCACGATTTCGTGCATTCTCCATTTTTATAATATTGGCGTGTATCTACACGGACACCATACGATATGTCATACAATTATTGCAATTTAGTAATATTTATGAGCACATGTCCGTGATAGCTTTTGCTATACAGGAAATCCATATACGCGTATATATACGCGTGAGTGAGGAAATGGACAGTGGATTATAGAGTAAGTGGAGGCATTCGTTAGAGGCAACTGAAAATGCTATTCCAGAGTGCTTCCGGGCCTTACTAATGGGATTCTCTTCAATCTATCAGCAAAGATGCGCTTGTGAGATGTTTTTTCTAAGTGCAAAAAAAAAATTAAATGGAGAAATGTCACAATGAACGCAGAAGAAAAGTCTACCGCATCTGATTGCATCACCTTCGTGTCGCTCATGAAACAATCCTAGCTTATCTTGACAGAGTGTGCGCAAAGCACACAACAAGTATAGGACCGAGACTCAAGCTCCCAATACCCGTGGGTCGGCCACAGCTCTGATAAGAATTTTGCAGAGAACCTCTTTCACTGACCAACTAGCGTTTGCATAAGTAACATACAAAAAAAAGGTACACTGCATGTAGATATCTTATATCCCTCATGTAAAGTAATGAGTGGCCTCGAAAAACGCCGGAAAAAGTGGCATTCAGTAAAAATTCCTAGAACAAAAAACACACACACAACTGGGTAGTTCACTAGAAAACGATCCTAGAGCCGGTGACTTACCTTGAAAAGAACTTTCCCAAAATCAAACAGGATCCTTCTAGTATTGCGGTATTTTTCACATTGCAGCAACTATTCAAATATGTCAATTCAAAGGCTATACTTGCTTTTCGCATAGGGATTCCCATCGTATGTAGCTATTTAACATCTCATCTGCCAGTTGTTCTCTCCTGGAGCTTACGAATTATTCTACACCCGTCTTTAGAAAAAAAATCATCTTGCGGGAAATGTGATTTGTCCTTTGTGGATACGAATGCATCACAACATCTGAAATATGCTGGGACCAGCTAGAGTGACAGCATAAGACACAACGATGTGTGCAGAGCTCTGCCAAAAATCTGACGAGCACCCATGACTCACTATTTAGGGGTGTCCCTGTCTCGATTGGCATAGCGATCTTTGCATACCATGACTGCCACTACTGGCAATACTATATCTGGGAAGTTAAAGGGCGATTACGTATTGGTTCATATTCGCCTCTACCTTTCCAGATATATTTTTTAAGAAAGGAAGCATTTTTCATCATATGGGCTCATTTTCGTCCTTTGAGAGTTGAAAATGTAGAATCGAGGGGAAACGAACATTCCGTTCGTTCGTACTAAGTATTGTACTAAGAAGTATTACATCCGGCGGCAGTGGCCGGTGGAGAAAATTAAATTATTCAACAAGATATTGTGTCTATGCAGAGGTCTGACTAAAAATTGATTTGATGATGAAAAAGTCGAAATCCGATAGAGAACATGTGAGAGAAGTGGTTCATGTTGAAATATTTCTACGGCATCTCTGTCAACATCAATCTGCCGTCAGTGGGTGCGGTACCTAAGTCAAAGCATTGTTTATACAAAGTGTATACATAGTCATGGTAAAACGGCAGATGGCGGGGTGACCATACGGTAGGATTGCACTGCAATCATTACGGGGGAGGGCGTACTGCACTGCGTGCGAGCATGTGAGCTGTGTGATGAGGGCCAGTTGCCAGTTGAGAAAGAAGCTCAGAACGGGACTGGCCTGGCTACAGGCTTTCTAAGTGCTTGGGGCTTCTTCAGTGCGAACTGCACCCGTTTTGCTTTGTATGACGTTTGAAAATCACAATGGGGTCTGCTGCCGAAAGTCTTCCCCGCTGTTTACACGTGGATTGGACCAGAAGACAGCAGGATGAGGTTGGAACAGAGATGGTAGGAACACCGTGGGGGAAAACCTCGCCTCGCCTACTGTACCCTTGGGTACTGTACGGTGCGTCCGGGAACAGCCTTTTTTCTACTCCAACAAGCGGATTCCGTGCTCAAGGGTTTTGTGGTTCTGCAGGACTGCCCATTCCCACATCCCACACACGCAGCCGCAACCGTCCTTCCCAAATGCGCACGCCACATGACTCCTCCCGACAACCCAGACATCTCCCCACCTTCCTCCCCGCCTCAATCTCTCTACTCTTCCTCAGCTTCCCCCAACCCCCTTGCCTTCCACCAAGGCTTCTTTATCGGCGCCCTGTGCGGCCCGCTCCCCGTAGCCGTTGTCGTCTACGTTGCACCGCCCGCCCGCTCCGCCCGCGCCGCCTTCACTCGCGGCGCGGGCTACGGTCTGGCACTCTGGCTTTTAGGCTGCGTCCTCATCCTCGTTCTCTTCCACACCTGGAGCGATAGCTAACCACCGAGCCGCTCCACGCACCCCCAGCCTTTTCCAGGGGCGACCCCCGAGGCTGTGAAGTGTCTACAGCCGCGGTCGGCAGCTGCGGTCGGCAGCTGCGGTCTGCAGTGCAGCTCGCCACTGCCTGCACTGACCAATATCCACGCGACACTTGGCACCTCGCGACACGTCACGCCGCCAAGCAACAAGCAACCTCGCCGCCACGATCTCACCGAAAACTCGGCCCAACACGCTTTTCCACAAAAAAAACCTCGCTGTGACGTGTTCTGCGACTTGACGTTAACTTAACCGCCCCCTCCCTTGTGCCGTCTCTGCAAACTTGCTTCCCGCTCGACCCACACTTCGCCCAGAACACAGCTCTCATGTCCGTCTTCCTCCCGCCGCCTGCACTCCCCACGCAGCCGCCCCCGCGCCCCGTCCGCCACAAGACCGTTCGCCGCCCGCGCCTCCACTGCACGTGCGCCACCTCGCTTCCCCGCCGCCGCCTGCTGCGTACATTGGCCGCTGCCGCTGCGGGGCTGGTACTGCCCACACCCGCCCCCCGCGCCGCCACGCTATGTTGGCCTGCCACTTGCACGACCGTGACCCCGGCTAAGGCCCCGCCTGCGTACACTGTCTTTTCAGTCGTCCCAACGTCGCTGTCCGATGTCAACCTCACCCCGCTCTCCATTGCCGAGGTTATTGACGACACGGCGACTGCCCGCGCCGTCCTTTTGGGCGAGCACCACAATTCGCTTGTAGACCACGCTCTCGAAGCAAGGATCATTGATGAATTGAGGCGTAAGGGCGAGCTCGTCGTCGGGCTGGAGATGGTGCAACAGCGCTTCCAGGATGCCCTGGATCGCTTTGTCTCAGGGAACCTGGACGAGCTGGGCTTGTACGTAGAGACTGAATGGGAGACGCGCTGGGTATGGCCATATGAAAACTACTTGCCCGTATTGCGCGTGTGCCGTAAGTATCACATCCCGCTCGTCGCGCTCTCGCTCAATTCCGAGGTGCTCAGCAAGGTCAAGGCAGAGGGAGGGATTGAAAACTTGTCTGCAGAGGAGATGCGCGCACACATAGGGGATCCGGCAGCTTTTGTCACGATTTCCAAACTCCCGGCCTTCAAGAGGTACATTAGCGAGATTATCACCCCGAGCTATGCCTCACATTATAGGAGGGGCTTGCTTCCAAACACGGCCAACTTTGCCTCGTTTTACACGGCCCGTGTGTTAAGAGATGAAGCCATGGCCACCTGCACAGTGCAGGCGATGCAGGCAAACCCGGATGCCGTCATGCTTTGCTTGATGGGCAGCGACCATGTCAAGTTTGAGTACGGCGTCAAGGCGAGAATCGAGGCTCAGCTTTTGGGGATTGAGAGGCGCGCCAACAAGGCCAGGGAGGCCGAGGGGGTGAGCCCAGTCCTTCAGCCCCCACCAAAGCTCAGGTCGGTTATGCTCAACCCTGGCCCGGCCGATGCGTACGATCCGCGAGATAAGTCACTCAAATTGGAGATGGCCGTGGAAGGTAACCCTGTACCTATTGCCGATTATTTATGGTTCAGCTCGGTGGCGGATGCCAAGCCGAGGCGACGGGTGAGAGAGTGGGTGTTGCCCCCCGTCGAGTTCTTGACGGCGATGTAGTCTGCTTTGGGGCGTATCGGTATGGGGCTGACTTGTCTCCGACGGGCAAAAATCTCTAATCACGCATTCTAATGCGTTCACAGTAGAATTTGCGAGGTGCTACGGTATTAGCGGTTGCTGGTTTTGTCGAAGGAACCTTGCGCGCTTCAATCAAAGCTCAAAGTCTCCCTCGTAGGGTTCGGAAGCGCTCACAGTCAAATCGAGGTCTGTCGAGATCGACGGTTTTGCCTCCCTAGAAATGCAATACCAGTCGTCATCTATAGACTAAGTTCTGGAACGCAGGACGCCTTCTAGCCCTAACACGATCGTTTGTCGAACAAGTTCAATTGTGAATATTATAGATAGTCTTCTAGAAACGGAGTACCGCTTGAATTTACTTGCCATGGTACATTTCTGCAATCTCACCCGAGTACACTTTTTCCACAATGTTCTTCTTGATCTTGAGCGTTTGAGTCATCATCCCATTCTCGACCGTAAACGGCACCAGAAGAACGCGGACATGCACAATGCGATCATTCGAGCTATAAGATATGCGCTCGTTATTTCGAGAGTTGATTTCGCTAGTGAGGGCCTTGCGAAAAGCTGTGTTTTTGTCGAGCTCGACTTCGGCCTTTCGCAAATTGGTAGCATTTGCAAGTGGGTCTTCTTGCAGCTGCTCAATCTCTCTTCGATAAGCTGGATCGATCATGCCTTCCTTTTCCAGGTACTCTAGCTTCGGGACCACCAGAGCCCCCAACACCTTCTCGTCCTGTCCCACCATCATGACCTGGTCCACCATTGGAGATGCAAGAATAGCGCCCTCGATTGGTGCAGGCTCTATGTTTTCGCCATTCGAAAGGACGATGACGTCCTTGCTTCGCCCTGTGATCACAAGGTCTCCTTCATTTGCAAAGTACGCAAGATCACCAGTGTTAAACCACCCCTCCGAGTCAAAAGCCTTTGCAGTCGCTTCTGGGTCCCTCAAGTACTCGGAAAACACATACGGACCAGTCGTGAAAAGCGTTCCCTGCTCCCCGTGTGGTACAGTCTGCCCAGTCTCCGTATCAACAATCTTCACGTACGCACGCGGCAGGCTCATACCTGTCGAGCCACGAACGTTATGCTCGCCAAATCGATTTGCAATCACGGGCGCCGTCTCCGTAAGCCCGTACCCAACGCAAATATCAATTCCCGCACATTCGAAAAAATCCTCAAGATACCCAGCAATCGATCCTCCACCGGACAAACACATCCGCAGGCGACCACCGGTGCCTTGTCGAATCTTGGACCAAATGAGCTTATTCGCCAAAGCGTACAACGGCATGAGCAAAGTCATTTGCAACATATTGACAAGCTTCCCGATCACACCCCCACCGCCGTTGTACTGAACGTCAAGCTTGCGCACCCGTCTTCGCGCCTTGACAAACGCGAGCGAGATAGCAAAGAACATGGCGAAAAGGGTCTTGCGCACAGAGGACGCCGCCTCAAGCTTGGCTGTGATCGCGGCGTGGAGATTCTCAAACACGCGGGGGACAGAAATAAGCATGTGGGGTTTGTGCGCGGCCAGATCTTCCCTAAAGTGCCTCCTGTTGGAATACACCAAGGTGACGCCCTTGCTGAGTACCCAGTAAGCGGCTGTGCGCTCAAAAACATGCCAGCACGGAAGGACAGAGACGAAGACCTCGCCCGGAACTGGGTCTAACTTGGCGCCGAGACTAATATCCTCAAGTTGAGAAAGAATGTTACCATGTGTGAGTACGACACCCTTGGGGTTCCCAGTGGTGCCGCTTGTGTACAGCGCGGTGGCAACATCGGGACGCTCGATACCGCAACCCAACTCCTCGCTGGTGGGCTTGAAGCCGAGGTCGAGGACATGCGCATACGAGTAGACGGGAAGCTGAGCATCCTTGTACGAATCGACATCACCAAACAGGACGACGACGAAGCGGACTTTTGCGCGATCTAGGCCCGCAGCAACGAGCCTATCCAGGACGGCTGTGTCTTCAACGAAAAGCGCGGAGCTCCTGGAGTGCTCGTAAATGTATTTCAGCTCCGGGACGGGGGCGGCTACGCCTCTAACAGCGGCAGCGGCGCCTCTGGTCATGATAGCGAGATCTGCAATGAGCCATCGGTGGGAGTTTTCCGAGATGAAGGAGACGACGTCGCGCGGGCGCAGGCCGAGGCGGGCGAGACCAGCAGCAAAGCAGGAGACGCGGTCGTGGAGCTCTGAAAAAGTGAGGGAGTCATCGCCGGGATGGTGGAGGTCAACAAGAGCGGGACGGTCGGCGAAGGAGGGGTTGGCAGCGAGGGCTGCGAAGACTTCGGGGATGGAAGAGAGATCCTTGATGATGGAGCAGGAGAGGCCCGCAGGGCCGCTGGGTACGGGATACGGAATGGTTTGGGGGGGGGCGATGGAGACGTGAGAGGAACGGGTGGGGGCCGAAGGGGCGGCGCTGC